GTTAAATGTACATCGGCCAAATGTCTGTCAATCAAACGTCCGCCGGCCAAATGTCCGAGTAGCCATTCAGTAACCCTCTACTTTGAGATTTGTATTGAGTGGACAATTTTGTGTAGTAATAAAATAAGGACATCCCATCTCTCCTCTCATTTGTAATCATCCATCACAATAAAATAAATATTTTTAAGCAGTAAGTCTTAATTAGTAAAATAAATACCCATAAGCTACTTAAAGTTCTTACAATATTGCATGTTATAAGAAAAAAAATGTACTTTGTTTCGGATAACCACGAAGTTTTTCAGAAGAAATCACTGGAGGAATATGAAGCAATGAAATTATAGCTGGACTCATTTTGCTATGGTCAGTCAAAATGCCAGTCCTAGCTACTGGACAAACATTCAAAAGCAGCTTAATGTCCTCATTTAAACAATAACATATGATTTATATGTGTTATCGTATTAACTACGAATATAACGAATTAATTATTTTTTAACGACCATCATTTGCTGCGTTGTAGAATATATGAGATTCTAACTTCGCAAACCAATAAAAGAAAAAAAATTGACGCGAACTACTAAAGCAGCTGCCTTTCATTAAAAGCTGATCTTCTTTTATTAGGTTGGTGCAAAAATAATGACGTAATAATGTCGTTTTTTGATGTATTTTTTAACGTCAAAAAACGACATTATTACGTCATTATTTTTGCACCAACCTAATATATGTCGGATCCCTTCAGCAAGTGGGTGAGCATACTTCTGCATTACTTACAATCTGTTGTAGTTCAGAGAAATGTTTGTGCCTTTACTCTCACTTACACTCCCTATTCTGCCATCCATTTAGCATAGATACTCGATGGTTCCAGTTGTCCTTCATGTTTTTAATATATATTATGGGTTTCAAATTCTCCAAACCGCCTTTCCGTTTTGTTCCCATTTTATTTGAACTTACTCATTGCTCATATCTTCCGTCTGTGGTATTCCCAGTTCAGAACCGTATCTCTATTGCGTTATGTATCATCTACACTTGAGGAGATATTCCCCGTTTTTACTCCAGGAGGGGGATTGATTATACGACGAAATTCTTTCCCTTTTATTCTTTATTTCTACTGAATTTTCCTGTCAGGTAATATAAATTTTTCGCGTATTGAAAACGAACAAAATCCGGGCTAATATCAAAACACATTATCATAATCTCTAGAGAATCTATAAGAGCGGGGTGGGGATAATTTTTTTCTGTATTTTGGTGAGATTTAGAGTCAATTCCTTTATTACAACATTGCAGAATATCTTCATCTGCGCACAGTGTCTTTTCAAGACGTAGATCATGGACGTACGTGTTGTTTAATTCTAACGTCCAACCGCTGTGTCGTTCTACCTATGTAATCGCATCCACAATTACATTTGAAATGGTAAATAACAGAATTAATATGGTGGGGGCGTAGAACATCTTTACACATAGATGAAAGTACGGACTTAGTTCGAACGTTCGCTGCAAAATAACACTCACGTGAACTACATGAAATACGCTTGGCGAAGGATTCACTAAACAACACATACCTATAATTATCTATAGCTATAATACTGAACAAAAAATCTTCTTTCGGCGATACCATTCGTAACACGTATGGGTCTTCGATTGCGGATCACTTTATAAAGAATCCCACTTGTGCGATGGATTTCAGTGTGAACTGGTTTTCCGTTTTGGCCAGTTCGCACTCATTATTCCATCTTAAGGTGTTGGAGACGCTTTACATCAGGTCCAGGCAACCTACTCTTTGTAAACAAAGAGATTGTTTGCTTGGACTTGCTGTACTGCGCTTCTAGCATCTTGGTTGGTATAATTTTTATAATATTTTTTTTTCTCCCTGTCCACTCATTCATGTCATCCATGACAGACTTTTTCTTTTCCTTTTCTTCATAATTTTAGTTCCCCGTTAACAGTTCTGATGAGAGAGGACGAAACCGGTCGACTGGTGTGTGTTTTTGTTTTAAATCTATCATGGCCTACAATATAAAATTTCTTAAATGCCTTAATACGCTTTTTGTACCGTTTCAAACATATTTTAATATATATATATATATATATATATATATATATATATATATATATATATATTGTGATGTCAACACTAAGTGCTGACACTATGTTTCAGGTTTAACGCAATCGTCAGGCCACCGGCGATTGCATTCAATATATGTCCATTTTATATTTACATACGTTCTCTCTCTCTGATATCGAGCACTTTAACCCATAAATATATATTCCCTTAAAACTATATTTTATCATCACTCTCTCTCTCTCGCTATATATATATATATATATATATATATATATATATATATATATATATACTTATATTTAACATGAAAAATAATTTTATATACTGTAAGTAATTCTATTACATTTACTTGTTTTTTCTTTAGGAAAAAAAAGTCTATTAAAATAACAGTGAAAAAATTTTAAAGTTGTATTTAAAATTGTAGTTAAAACGAATTCTAAACTAAACATCTTTTAAAATTATAGTTAAAGAAAATGTATTCTAACCTAAACACCTCTCAAAAAGTACTACCGGCACTTAAATCAATCCAATAAAACACCTACTAAAAAATCAAATTATAACGAAAAGCTAGATGATGTAGGCCATTGAATGACCCATGTCCTATGTACATACATATGAAACTTTACTACTATGTTTATATATATAAAAAAATTAAAAATTATAGTTTACTAAATCAGAGAAATGAATTAGCTATTTTTGCAGTAAGTGCCATAAATATTACTTAAATAATATTTAAATATAAAAGTTTAAAAATCGTAATATACATATACTTGATATGGAAAAATAATTCTACTTACTATAAGTAATTCTAATACATTTCCTTCTATTATAAAGTAATATAGTCTATTAAAACTAACAATGAAAATATTTTAAAGTTGTAATGAAAATTGTAGTTAAATAAAATGAATTCTAACCTAAACTTCTTTTACTTAGTACTACACGCACTTAAAAGAATCCAATAAAACACCTACAGTAAAATAAAATTAATATGAAATGCCAGAAGATGTAAGCTTTTGAATGACCCATGTCCTTTGTACTTACACGAGAAACAATATATTACGAGGTTTATATAAAAAATAAAAGTTTACTAAATCAGTGAAATTAAGTAACTATTTTTGCCGTCATTGTCATAAATTTTACTTAAATAATATTTAAATACAAAAAAAAATTGTAACCTAATATACATACTTATACTTGATGTAAAAATAATTCTACATACTATAAAGGATTCTAATACATTAAAAAAAATAGTATATTAAAAAATATAGTATATTAAAAATTAAAAATGAAAATATTTCAAATCGTAGTTAAATAAAACGTATTCTAACCTAAACACCCCAAAAAATCTTTAAATTTACAAATAGAAAAAAAATGCCGTAAGAATTTTTTGCCGTTAACGATAAATTTAAAAAAATCCAGACGACATGCATTCAACGGATGTCAGATTTCATTGAAGAATACATCCCTACCCCTTACTAAAACGTAACTAAAAAACGGATACAATAATACAGACATAATGAACACCCAGATACCCCTTGTCCAGTTGAAGTAGATTTCTCTGTAACCTTGGAAACGTGAATTATGATTTTAGCTGTGTCTTTAAAACCCAGTAATTTTAAAAGTTACTCCAAAATTCGCTTGAGGATGAAATAGAACTAATGTCTTTAATTTAATTACAAAATTAAATTCGTAGCTTTTAGCTTCCATTTTTGAAACATGGTTAGAACTGTGTAGCGAAAAAAAACATATTTTAAATAAATCAATAATATAATATATATATATATATATATATATATATATATATATATATATATATATATATATATATATATATATATATATATGTTGAATAACACTCCTTAAATCAGCAGACAAAATGCTTTGTTATTTTTATCCTTGAAACATCCTCAATTTTTAGAATATTACATTATCTATTTAAATATACGCAACTGACGACATTTCGGTCTTAACTGACCGCGAGAGCCGAAATTACTCAAACCAAACCAGTGCAAAAATAGCAGCTGCTTTCAATTTATCAACAGTTTTTTTATGATTTAAAACATCTTATTCGAAGATTGGGAAAACACAGCAAAATATTAAGTAGACAGACATTGTGAGTTACATTTAAGAAAACATTTTACAATCTCCAACCCTAAAAATACAATTTGGTTAGAAATAACAATATTATTGATTGTATAATTCCTATATATTAAAAGAAAAGACTGGAAGAAAATACAAAATTTCTTACAGACTGTAAATATGAAACATGAATTTCACCAAGGACGGCGTTTATCTGCACACGTATTTGAACTAAATATACAAAGTCGATTTCTTAGTGGGTGGCCAATGCCTACCTGGTACTGGAGGTCAAAAACATTCCAGTACGCATAGGTTTGGTGACACTGAGGGAAGCGTAGGAGATATTTTGCTTGAAAATGGACACTACATTATTGATTTAAAGCCAAGAAATGACCTCATTTTTACTCTAGCGATGAACAAGAGGTCCGAAGTTGCTTTCATAAATATTTGCACAAGTGGAGTCGGCCCGATTTTTTTTTTTCGTAACAGGAGTGTGTGGTCACCGTGAACTACCTTTCATTAAAACTGCTTAAACTATATATTTGTAAATTCAGAATATTTTATGTTATTCATACTCAACCTATATAGGACCCAAGAACCACTGAAGATAGAGGGCTACGGAAAATTGTTTGTTATATGTGCGATAAGAATGAATGTTAAGAAATGTAGTTTATGAAGACATGTGATAACGAGGAGGGTTTATGCCTAGGCTTCCCGGGGTTATGAATTTTATGATCGGAAACGTTATCCTCGAGTCCGTCGGTTCCATAAAGAAGCGGTCCATAGGAAGAAACTGCCCGAGTGGAACTTCCTCCTTACTGGTAGAATACGAAGAGAATGAGAATGGTTTAGCCAAGTGTACGCGTCATGGCTGGTCTCATCTGTGATAGATAGATAGATAGATAGATAGATAGATAGATCATGAATAAACATAGATAGAAAAATGAATAGACATAGATAGGTAGATAGATAGATAGATAGATAGATAATGAATAGACATAGAAAAATGAATAGACATAGATAGATAGATAGATAGATAATGAATAAACATAGATAGAAAAATGAATAGACAGATAGATAGATAGATAGATAGATAGAAAAATGAATAGACATAGATAGATAGATAGATAATGAATAGACATAGATAGAAAAATGAATAGACATAGATAGATAGATAGATAGATAGATAGATAGATAGATAGATAATGAATAGATATACATAGATAGATAGATGGTTGTTGAGCGGCATATCAATTTCTATGAGTTATTCAATGACGAAAGGTAAATACTTTAATGTTTCTAATGAGAAAAGTCTTAACTCATGGCTGAAGGAGAAAAGGCGGTTTCATGCCTTTCCCAAGGGTATTTGTGCGTAAGTGAATATAACAAACCCGACTGGAATTGGAACTCGGCTCTGCGATTAACAATTCCGAGTTATTATCCAGTGCATCACCCGCACATCCAAGCTTACAGCATCTGATATTCTTAAGCGGTCACCCATCTAGTTATTGATCAGGCTCGACTTCAGCGATAGTACGGCAACCGGTGTTTCAACCTGACCTGACCCTAAGCCGATACATAGCTATCTAAGAATGATAGGAACAGTCTGAGACATATATATATATATATATATATATATATAAAAGTGAACATAGAAGTCAATACTTAGAGGCGACAGTTTGTTTCATGCTATATGCAATCGTCAGGCCACGCGTGGTGTTATTTTTCTCGGCTATTTATACATATACGGGTCAGTGGTGCATTGTGTGTAGTCTATTATGGCGGTTATTTTACCGGAAGTCGTTTATTTAAAAAAATTTGTTTATATCACTTATTTAATAGTTTTGTTTTGGTTTGAGAATTTAATTAAAGCTATTTGTTCTGTTTGGGGGTTGGTTGTTGTAGTTTATTCTAACTATTATTTTGGCAGAAACAGTTTTTAATTTGTGTTTATTTGGGTTGGTTATCTTTATTTGTTTTTTTCTGACGGTAACTTTATCGGGATTGGTTTGTTTATTTATTTACTGGGATGAATTTGGGTCAATTTATTTTACTTCTATATTTTCTCGTTTCGGTTTTCGATTTTTAAGTAACGTAGTATTTATTTATTTGTTTTTTATTTTTATTTTATTTTATTTATTTATTTATTTTTTATCGTTATATAACAGTTATAGCTATTTTTTTCGTCCGATTTTTTGGTTTGATTTTTAGTCTAACTAATATTTTGGTCGTAATGGTTTGCTACTTTGTTTATTATTTTACATATTTATCTTGGTTCGTTGTGTTTTTTGTTGTTATTATTATTATTATTATTCTGTTTCGTCTATTCTAACAGGTATGATTTGGTAATTTGTTAGGATTAATTAATTTTGCTTATTGTATTGTTATTTTGTTTACTTGTTTATTTATTTTTTTTTATTTTATTTTTTCCGTTTTTCAATTTTTAAGTGACTTAGTAAAAATTTGTTTTCATGTCTGCATTTTGAGATGAGCTCGGATCTTTTATTTAATAATTTATTTTGGTCTGGGAAAGTAATGATAGCTATTTTTTTCCTCCATACAAAGTTTGCAAGTTTTTGATTGGTTGTTGTAGGCTAGTGATCTTTTCCTTATTTTCCAAGATATTTTTGGTGTGATGTGGGTTTGGTTTTTAATTTCCCAGATATACTTAGAAAGCATTGTACTGTTCGCATATTTACTATTTGTGAAAGATGTTTTGTGTGTATAATTTTTTTTTTCCAGGGTCCTTCAGTTACTCCTATATATACTTTTTCTTCATTATCTGGTGATTTTATAGTGGCTTGTTATATTACGTTGTTTTGTAAACAATTTCCGTTTAAGGGGCATTCGTTCTTTATTCTGCAGTTGCATGTGGGTTTAATTTTTTCGTGTGGCTTGTTGATAATTTTCCTGTAGTGCTTTTTTTATTATTTGTGCCATGTTCTCGGTGCAGCTGTAGCTGATTTTTACTGTGTTTTTGTTGAATATTTTGTGTAGGGTGCTTGATTCCGGGAAGTGTTTGTGTAAGAGTTTGAAGAATATTTTTTCCTAGATTTGTTTTTAAGGTTTTGCTGTACGGTGGGTTGAACCATATGATATTTCTTCTCATGTTCGTCTTTTTTTTGTTTTGTGGTGAGTATGTGAGTATTGCTGGGAATCCGCTATCTTTTAGGGCTGTTTCATAGTCTTTCTTAGCTTTGTTAAATATGGATTCATTGGAGGAATTGTCGGAAAGCCTTTGGTTAATCGATTTCGGTATCTGTTTGAGTATAGAAGGCGGATGGTTGGAAGATGTGTGTATGTAGAGTGGTTTATCATTAGGTTATCTATATGGTTTATATATGCCTTTTGTTAGGTTGAAGGTAACTTCCAGAAAATCTACTTCGTTTAGGTTAGTTTTTATATATACTTTCGGTTAGTTTTTATATCTACTTTTATATATATATATATATATATATATATATATATATATATATATATGAATGAGAGAGAGAGAGAGAGATACATATGTGTGTTTGTAACGAGTGCAGAATACTTAAAAATCCATTCTGTTATAATTTATTTCATGTTTTAAAGAGAGAGAAATATGGGGATGGGAGAGGGAAGGAGAAAGAGTGGGAAGGAAAGATGGAAGAATTAAACATGAGCCGATAGAGTGACTTAGGAATGTTTTTTTTTCTTTCAGGACTTTAAAAAAAACAGGGAGGGTAGCGATCAGATTCAAAAAAGATACATTGGATTGTCTTGTCATTTTCGACAGCGAAACTATCACCATTGCATTATAATCATCACAATGAAAAATTGATAACAATATTATTTGTCATCAAAAACATAAAGTTAAATAAAGTAAAATAAAGGAAATTAAATAAAAATATTAAAAATGTAAAAAGATTAATATATATTGCTATATGTATACATAAAAATATAAATTAAAATAAATAATTAAACTTAAAAGATAAAAAAGTATTTTCAGGAACTAATATATATATATATATATATATATATATATATATATATATATATATATATATATATATATATATATATATATATATATATATATATATATATATATATATATATATATATATATATATATTTCGATTATAGGTGCAGTTCAATTTATAATTACATGAATCATTCATACAAAAACAAATATAGAGGTTAATGATTTAAATGGCGAGAATATTGTTTGCAATAACAATATTGAACTTGTTTGCCAAGATGTATTCTCGCCATTATTATTAGAATCTCTCATAATATATATATATATATATATATATATTATAAGATATTATAATAAAAACATTTTTGACATCTCTACGCAAAAGTTTTCATGTTTCAATACTATGATTGTATATCTTCAGGCGATGTTATGTAACTGGTGATTAAATCCCCTAAATCATTTCATCACCAGTTACTTACCCTCGCCTGAGGAAGTACAATCATAATATTGAAACATGAACATTTTTGGGCCGCGATATAAAAAGTTTTTATTATAATCGTTTATAATAAAAATATAATAATAATATTTTGCTTTACTTTGTATTGTGCACTTTCTTAAAAATAAATGCTACGAACAGTAGATTTCTTTATTCATATTTTCTTTCTCATATTTGTGTACACAAACGCACAACACGCACACACACACATATATATATATATATATTATACAAATATTCACAATATACAAGGTTCAAGAGCTACACAAATTAGATATTATCTTAATCTTAGTTATTTTCATGTCATTTTTCATGTTTTCATATATATATATATATATATATATATATATATATATGAATATATATACATATCTAAATATATTATACTAATATTCACAATATACAAGGCTCAAGAGGTACACAAGTCAGATTTTATTTAATATTTGTTATTTTTCATGTTATTTTTCATCTTTTTTATATATATATATATATATATATATATATATATATATATATATGTATATATGTATGTATTATACAAATATTCCCAATATACGAGACCCAATAGGTACACAATTTAGATATTGTCTTAATCTTTTGTTATTTTTCATGTTATTTTTCATGTATATATATATATATATATATATATATATATATATATATATATATATATATATATATTTAGATAGATAGATAGATAGATAGATAGATAGATGATGTATTATACTAATATTAACAATATACAAGACTCAAGAGCTACACAAGTTAGATATTTTCATAATCTTTGTTATTTTCATGTCATTTTTCATGTTTTATATATATATATATATTTAGATAGATAGATAGATAGATGATGTATTATACTAATATTAACAATATACAAGACTCAAGAGCTACATAAGTTAGATATTGTCTTAATCTTTGTTATTTTCATGTTTTGGCCATTGTGCTCTCCGTCTTTCTACAGGTATTTGTAGATCTGGGTCACCTACAACGAATTTTGATTTGAACCCTTTTTTAATCTTCCATTCCTTTGTTTTGGCTTATATTATCGTTGCTTATTATTCACTGGTAGGAATACGCCATTATTCACTAATTCTTTTTCATTTTCTTTCCAGGTAAGTACCAATGAATTTTGGTGTTGACACGAGAAGAAATCATGGAACGGGCAAGTTATGTTTTATTATAATTCTGTCTATATTTCTGAAATGAGGTATTATGTACATTAATTATAATATTCGGACTATTGTCCTCATCTTTGTCAGGACTATTGTCCTCATCTTTGTCAGGACTATTGTCCTCATCTTTGGGTTCAGTTCGACATTCCAACTAGGCTGGAGCGTACAACGGCCGAAATGTTGTAATAAATATGGCGACAAAGATGAGGACAATAGTCCGTATATTGTAAATAATATTTTAATTTCGCTTCGTATGCACATAAATTGAAACAACTGCTTTACTTTACTTTCTTTCACTATAAGGTCAGTTTAAGACCCATTGGAGTGACAGGATGTAATCGATTTCTGTTTTTTCCTCAAATTAGGTCATTTGCAGTGGTGTGCCGTAATAATGAATATTTTCGGGGTGTATGATGAAATTTCTTTGGCCTTGAAAAATATTGCGTCGTCTGTGATTGCGTTAGATTTTTTATCACGCCCAGACATTATTGTCTGCGATAGACGTTACTCCAAGGAAGCGCACGAAAATTGTAACGCTGTACGAACACACTAGCAAGCTTTAATAGTGGGCAAAGCAAAGTACTATAAATTGGCCCGGAAACTCTCCTGATTTAAATGCAATCGAGAATCTGTGGTTAATCTGCAAGGAAAGACTTCGAGGAATGGACATTCGAATTACTAACATGTGCACCAGATCATGATCCATTGAAAAAAGTAAATAACGGAATTATTCGTTATGTTTCAATTAATTTGCACAAGGGTGTATTTGGGAACTGATAACGTCAGGAAGGTTGTTAATGAACATAAGAAATAACGTAGGTGTAAGATAGAACGCTGCCAATTTTGCTTTTTTGTACCTGTCGAACCTACTATTAAGACAGGAGTAAATAATTGTGGCATCGTCATAGATACCTACACCTTTGTGCAAATTAATTATCTGATTTTTTTTTTTCATTTTTTATGGCTTATCAATCTTTTGAGGGTTATTTAAAGCCACATAATACTTTGAGATTGTAAGAAATTTTTTAGAGATAATAATTTTTAATGGTAAATGTTCTGCTTAATTTACTGATACCCGGGATGGGGAGAAGATGGGGATTCATATCTTTGCTAAGGCAAGTTGCACGTAAGTTAATATGACGAACACAACGGGAAATGGAACACGGCTCTCCGATTAACAATTCTATTACACCACCTGGATATTTAAACTTATAGCACCTGCTATTCCGAAGTGGTCACCCATCTAGGTACTGACCAAGCTTGACGTTGCTTCAATATAGAGGTTTATATAGAAAAGAACAGACGATTTCTAGCTAGCTAGCTAGCTAGATAGATAGATAGATAGATACGAACAGAATTAGATAAATAGAAAGAAAGTTGGATAGATACTGATAGGATTTGATAGATAGATAGATAGATAGATAGATAGATAGATAGATACTAACAGAATTAGATACATGGAAAAATAATTGGATAGATACTCAGGGAATTCAATAGATAGATAGATTGATAGATAGATAGATGTTATCAGAAAGAGAATATATTTATGTAGATTAAACCATTTTACAATCCATTATTTTTTTTGCCGTTTATGTAAAACAGTGTACGATTTTTTTGTAGATAATAATGATTTTTCCTAATAGAAGTTTTACTAATTAACCCATAGGTTATAGGGGAAGAAGTGGATTCATACCATTGACTCGTAAGTGAATATAACGAACACGGCTAGAAATTGGAACTCGGTTCTTTGATTTCCAGTTCTGAGCCATTATCCCTTCAACTCCCGCACATCCACGCACCGAGTATTCCCATGCCGTCACTAGTGTAGTTACTGATCGGGTTCGACGTTGCTTAATTCGGGGCTCGTACGAGGATCGGTGTTTCAACGTGACATCGCCGTAAGCTAAAAGAAATAGGTGGGAACAGACCAAGATAGATAGATAAATAGATAGGAACAGATTTAGATAGATCTAGTATAAACAAGATAGATAGATAGATAGATAGATGGACAGACAGACAGATAGATAGATAGATAGATAGATAGATAGATAGATAAAGAGGCTGTAATAGATAGATAGATAGATAGATAGATAGATAGATAGATGGACAGACAGACAGACAGATAGATAGATAGATAGATAGATAGATAGATAGATAGATAGATAGATAGATAGATAGATAGATAAAGAGGCTGTAATAGATAGATAGATAGATAGATAGATGGACAGACAGATAGATAGATAGATAGGTAGGTAGGTAGATAGATAGATAGATAGATAGATATGAACAAACCTAGATAGTTATATATAAACACCCTCAGAAAGAGCGAAAAACGGACAGAAAGAACTGAAATATCTCGAATTCCGTTACACCCAGTAAAATAATGGAAAACGTCGAAAACATCTCGTTCATAAGAAGTACCGATCATCTTATGGCAGCTATTTCCACTTTCAATAACACTTCCAGTTTTGTTCTCTAAATCAGTAGCACTGATTCCCGACCCACCCTCGTTTTTTTTCTTCTCGTCAATCAATAACTGCTTGAAGGAGCTGATGTCTTCTGGTGAACGCCCTCTTTTTTCTTTACGCCCAGGTAGCCTTGCGAGATTTTGACAGACACACAGGACAGGATCAAAGGAAAAGGCTCTTCGATTTCAAGAAGAGGCAACCGTGCTAATTATTCCGCTTCAATCAGAAACGAAATTTTTCTATTAGTGTTTGCTCTGATGACCATCCAAGTCCATTTTGCTTGCATCGTCTTCGTCAACGCTTGAGCGCGTTCGGCGGCCATCTTTTCTTTTTGCCAATTCTCAAGGTTTTGTTTTTCGTTTTTCTTTTTTTTTTTATATGTCGATTTGCGCGCTTATTCTAATTTCTGCATTCTTTTTGGCTTTGATTAATTCTTTTTATTATTTTTTGTTTTGTTTCTTTGGTTGTATTCCGGTATTCCATTTTTTTATTTTTTATTTTTCTCTATATTTCTTTCATTCTTTTCATTATTACATTCTTTTTGTCTTTCGTTTCACTCATTTTTCTTTTCTTTTTGTTTCTCGTCATTGTTTCTCTCCTTCTTTGTCCCTCTCTTCCTTAGGTTTATAGTTTCTGTCTTTCAATTTTCTTTTCTTTATTTTTCTTTTTCTCATAATATTGTTCTTTTTTTTTCTTTATCTTTTCTTTTATAACTTCATTTTCTGTGATTATTTTTCGATTTTTCTCTCGCATATTCCTTTTTTTTCTACTTTATTTGTTTTTTTTTCGTTCCTTTTATTTATTATTTGTCTATTTTTTCCTTCTTTACTTCCCTAGTTTCTTGTTTATTTTATTTAATTCTTTCTTCTTTATTTCTTTCATTCTTTTACCTTGTCTGTGCATTTATTTATTTACCCCTGAAAGACAAAAAGAAAAGAAGTATTTCTTTTATTTTCTTCTTTGATATTTATGTTATGACTTTGCCTTTCTTTCATCCGCTATTTCATTATATTTTTCTTTCATTCCTTCTGTTCCTCCTCCCATCATTTTATTTATAGTTCGTTTTAGTTTAATTAGGATATTGGCGCTACTCAATCTTCCTATATTCATTGTCTGCATGTGTTGTAATCAGATGATAATATATCTGATTTTGTGGCTTACATTATGCAAATTTTAATCAAATTTAGCGCCCCAAATGTACCTGCCTGTTATTTGCGAACGGTTTATTTTATGCAGTTGAAAAAGAAATTATTAGTTCGGTTACCATGGAAATGGCATAGAGAAATAAGGTATAATTTTTTTTTAAATTCAAAGTTTTCCAAGAGATTGAATAAACTTTAATTACATTGTTGAATTTTTGTCTTAAACATATTTTTTGTTTATGATTTAAAAGTTTAAATCTTTTTATTTCTTTCGCTAAGTTTTTTTTATTATTTGCGTTTTATATATATATTAGTTTAACATTAGGATGCGTGTTAAACACTATATGCGCATTATACAGAAAAGTGTCATATTTACGTAGTTTAGTAAACGATCTAGCCTAGCGAATATCTATTAGCTTGAGTCAGAGACGAGTTTCCGTTTCCGGTAAGCAATTGCAATGAAGAATGCGTCATCCTAACTATTACTCATATGTGGTAGTTAAGAATACCTTCACATTTGCATGGCAGATGCAGCGTACACAGTGGATCAAAGAAAGAAACTGATAACTGTAAAATAAATTAGCTTACATTCCTCTGACGTCGTTCGTGCAACACTAAATACATCTTTTTCAATCCGCCGCTCTTGAGTTGCTGCACATGTCACCAGCGTAAAAACTGTTAATATTTAACAGCCCCCTCCCGACGAGGGATGTATGTGGCACAAGGCCGAGTTTACCGTGGATTCTCCGAGCCCGTAGTCTCGGCCAAAAATATTCCCTGTCTACCTTCCCGGATGAAGCTTTGCCCTTCGGCAAAGACTTGTCCATGTTCCTCTCTGCTCAAGGCAGAGAGTTCGAAAGTAATAAACAGTGTGGCACTGTTATATTTAACAGCCCCCTCCACGAGGGATGTATGTGACACAAGGCCGGGTTTACCTTGATGTCTCCAAGCCCGTAGTCTCGGACAAAAATATTCCCTGTCTACCTCCCCGGATGAAACTTTGCCTTTCGGCAAAGCCTCGTCCGGATTCCTCTATGTTCAAGGCAGAGAGTTTGACAGTTGAACAAGCTCGAACACTGTTTCGCAACGTAAAAACTGTTAATATATAAAACGTGGGATGTAAGTGGCACAAGGCCGAGTTTACCTTGGGTTTTCCGAGCCCGCAGTCTCAGCCAAAAGTATTCCCTTAGAACCCGCATAAACGTACATTCCCGGACGAAACTTTGCCCTTCGCTAAAGCCTTGTCCGGGTTCCTCTCTGCCGAGGCAGAGAGTTTGACAGTTGAACAGGCTAGATCACCCTTCTCACTGCTTCAGCCATCTTTTATCATACCATCACCACGGCCGAATGACCAATTAGCATTCTTCGCTTTTGTCGTCTGTTACCCAATCAAATGGCATCCTCCAGTACGATCAATAAGCACGCTACCTGCTACTGGTCAAACTACGGTAAGCTGTACGAAAGCCACCGTTACAGAATATACACTTTTGGAATAATCTAACGTGAGGTGGGCAGATGCATACCATTTTAAGGGAACAAAATGTCGCTGTTACGTCTCTTGTATTGAGGTAAGGAAGTTATTTTCTTTTGCACCAGATGCAAGCCACTCTAACTCGCTTGCTTCTACGTAATTGTTCTCCACAACAAGACAAGGCCACATGCGGCAAGAATTGCATAGGAAAAATATTTAGAACTCTGTGGTTCTATTCTTATTTACTTGCTATATTCACCTGATCTTGCATCAATGTTCCTCGAACGTTGAAAATGATCCAATGGATGAGAAAAATTCTCAAATATAAATCATAGTCAAGAATTCGTCGCAAAAAATTATACGTCAAAATTTGCGTAATTTTAATCAAAAGGTATCGAAAAGCTGCTGGCTAAGTGAAAATAACTCACTTCAAATAATGAGGAATATACGAGTTCTGAATAAAAACTGTCGTGGTTATTGCTATGGTAACGGTGTCAAAGTACGTAGAGTGAAGCCGCTTGGCACAGATTGACCTTGGAATCTGTCAGCATGCTCACAAAATTATAACGTTCTTGCTTACGTTATTTATAGTAGTGCTTGGAGGGAAAGTTTGTAAAGTGTAGTCGTATCACTACATCACAGATTCATCATCAATGACCATGGTTAATAGAGTAGATTTTAGACATGCGCAATCTTTACCCGACCCGACAACCACCATAATCAAAATCAAATCCCACTTGAAAGGAAAAAAAATTGAAAATGCCGAAGAAATCCAAGAGAATATAACGAGGCAGCGGCTCGCTATCTAAAAATAAAAAAAAAAGAAAAGACTTTGATCAAACCTCGCATAATTGAATAAAATATAATTGTATGTTATATTTGAAGAACAATTTGAATAAGCAAAGACAAAAATTATTCAGGACTCAGCCTCGTAGTAGATATATAATAGGTGTAACATTTATAAAAATCGGAAATTATTGATGTTTTTTTGTATCATTTTAAAAAGGGGATCTTATTCATAATATCGATACAGTGTACAAATATTTACTTCACCGAGATATTTCTAAAAAGATTTACTCTGTGTGCATGCACGCAAATTCATAACGCTATCTTTCCCAAGTCCGACAACCATTATAATCAAAATCAAATCGCACTTGAAAGGAACAAAATTTGAAAACGTCGAGGAAATCCAAGAGAATGTGACAAGGCAGCTGCTCTCTATCTCCAAAAAAAGAGTTCCAGTAATGCTTCCATCAATGGAATGGAAACGTTGCTTCAGAAAAGGAATTAATTCGAAGGAGATTAAATGCAGAATTGATAGTTGTTGTAGTTTTATTTTTATAGCACCAGTCGCGATACTTTTTGATTAGACCTCGCATAACTGAATAAAATGTAATTGTATTTTATATTTGAAGGAAAATTTGGATAAGCAAAGACGGGAATCATTACGGACTCAACCTCGTAGCAGATTTTTAATATGTTTAACATTTGTAAAAATCGAAACATATTGATTTTTTTTATTCATAATCAAAGAGGTTTGGAATGTTATAATCATTGGGGGTGGCTTTGATTCATAATATCGATACATTGTACAATTATCCCTGATATTTTACAGTTATGCAAGTGAAATCAAACATTTTTTTCTTTCAAAAATACTTCATTTAAATAAAGTACAAATGTTTACATTAATTAATGAAAATATATATCTGTTAATTCTTCATTTAGGATAAATGATTATAATGAAAATTCTTTCACCGAGAAATTTCTAAAATAACTTTAAAAAAATATTTTAAAATTCAGTAAAAAAATTTCAAAAAATCGGTATATATCAATGTTCTAAGAACGTATACAAATTTTGCATTTACAAATAGGTCCAATAACTGTAAAAATTACTGGGAAAATGTTACACCTTATAGATATTATGAAAAATGACCCCCATTTAAATCAATAACAAAAATCAGTATTTTTCTATTTTGACCACAGCCGTTGTCTGGAGGTCAAATGAATTCTAATCTACAAGAATTATGTTTAAAGTACTAATGGGAATTATATCAACTAGACATTCACTGTTCTATAAAAAGTAACTCCACATGAGTCAGGTTAGCTTTCGCTCTGGCAAGGGTGTAATGGTGATTTAACCACAGGAAATAGCTCTCCAATAGGAAATAATATAGTGAATTTCTAAGCCCGACTTAGATGCGGTACAAGGCCGAAAGTATGGGACACCTAGTGAGGATCGAACTCACTACTCAGTCGTAATTGATCTAGCAAGACAAGCTTTCTAACCATTACCCTACGTCAAGGTACCCCCAATAGAAAATGATATATCAGCTACGTGAAGCATGCAACAGCATATCATTGCGACAATAAAGACTTCCTCTTGCCATCCTTTAGAAAAGCCTTCCAAACTCTGAATCCATTGAATGACAAGACATCCTAAAAAAACTGTATCGGTCGTATAGGTCAGGTCAGGACCTCAATAGGGGGACATTTCAAACCTCTTCTGGGCTTTCTAGACTATGCCCTCTGCTTATACAAGCACAGATATGAAGAAATGGGCACTTATCACTTAAACATTCCATACCGTAACCCAAATGGATCTATTAATAGTAAAGAAAAAAAGAAGCAATCCTGCTTTCCCTCGTGAGACCAATGTGCAAAGGATGAAGTGTCTATTCTGATGATATAGGTATTCTTAGTTGGGGGGAAAAATGCCCCTATGCCGATTGATATATAAAAGCCCAGGAAGTGGAAATAGTAAATACTAAACCTCGATGGATGGATCAGTTTCATCAATTTTAGGATAGAAGATCAAGAAACATAGAATAGGTTAATCTAGAAGTATATCGCTATCTATAAAAGTCAGTATGTGTGCGCGTGTGTGTAACGGATGAACGTCCGCAATTTTCGACGGATTTGCACCAAAATTCGCATGCACATGCTCCAAGTTACTTGGATGGCCAAGGCCGACTTTGTATTTCCCAACTCCCATCGATAGTGGAAATAATCGATATTTTCATGCTTCTACGGCAGTTTTCATGTCGTTTGTGGCCATTTTCTACTGGCCAGAATTAGAGCCTCTAGCTGGCTGCCACGAATAGGCAGGAAGATACTATTGGCCAGCGTGAGAGCCAACAGCTGGCTAACACGAATGTTAACTAGCATGCTAACATGCAAAAATATCGATAGCTGCATTCGTCACAAGTGGGAAAAATTTAAATCTCCATGGCACTTTACTCCAATTGGCTCATTCGCTTGCTTAAACTCAACGTTGATTCTGATTCCGCAGAACTGGGTTGGGTGTGAAAAAGTATTTGTTGTTAACATTCTTTTTTCATTCGGTTTTTCCAGAATTTTTGTTTATTTTGTTTAGTTCTTTTTTCGTAACGGATTTAATGTTTAGTACAGAGCTTAGAAAAAATTTGCAGTGTGAGATGGGCACGAA